CAAGGTGTTCATTTTTCATCCATGGATAGAATGTAGAGTCTTTTGAAGAATGGATGAACTGCTTGCCCTTCAAATAATCATTTGTAAATATTGCTTTTCTCAGCTGGGCTTTTGATAGAGGTTGAATAGCAGACAGTTTGAGATGGAATCCTGTGACAAGAGCCTGGGGTGCTCCTGTTCTCTTGTTGCCAGGCCAGGCCAGAGCTTTATACCATAGAAATCACAAGTGCAGGTGGCAGAGTTGACATCTTGTTCTGAAAATTGGACCCCTGCATGCACGGAAGGCCATTTTACTTTTCCTTATGCAGAGCCCTGGGCCTACCTTCAAGATTCCTTACTCCTCTTCAGGTTTGGGGTCTCATCTCCACATAGAGAAATTCTTTGACAAGCCCTAGGGTATTGAGCCTCCTCATTCAGTGGTCCAAACCACAGTGCAGGGTCTTCTCTGGTTCCATTGTAGATGGACAGCATATACTAGGAAGTCCAGAATATGCCTCATTTAAGAGACCCATAAAGGAATCAGCCCTGGAAACAATTCTCGGGATTTCAGGCATAAAGCATGAACCATCACTCTTAGGTAGTCTAGAAGGTTTCCATTTTATCTGACTGATTGCTCCACCCCAAGTGGGAGAACTTCTGTCAAAGATTTCGGGCAGCACCGTGGCCTGGCAGATGGACTGTCTTTAAGATTTTCTCTTAAGAAAGTAAATGAATAAAAAAGCCAGGTGTGATAGTGCACACTTAGAATCCCAGCTCTGGGAAGATGGAGCTTGGTATGTCACTAGGGGTCACTGGCCTAGCCTACATGATACGTTCCAAGCTAGTGAGACCCTGTCCAAAAAAAACAAAAAAATGCTACCTCATGATGTCCTTTGACTTCCCTGCATATGCACACACAGATACATGCATTCATGTGTGAACATGTGCACACACCTACAAATTTAAAATGAATCCATTAGCCTGCTCAGTGAATGCTTTTTTAAATGTTTTGTTACATTAAAAAATAGTGTCCGTGTGTGCACACACATGTACATATGTGTACACATATCAGGTGTGTATGTGAAGGTCAGAGGACAATTTGTGAGAGTTGGTTCTCTCCTTCCACCTGAGGGTCTCAAGGATCAAACTCAGGTCATCAGGCTTGGTGGGTACCCGCATCTGCTGAGCCATCTCACCAGCCCATTAGTGAAATTAGTTTAATAATCTGTGTCCACTTGGAGGCAAGTTCTATTTGTCTATAAAGAACTGTGAAACTGTTCTTTCTGACCGTAGGTGTGAACACCTTATATTTATTTATCTTTTTGACTTAATGTTTATCCCAGGATCTTTAAGAGAAAAGTGATGTTAGGTAAACATAGTCTGGGAATCTCTGAGTCTCCCAATCCTAAAGTCTATCATCCAGCCTATAACACCAGCCTTTTGCATCATACAAAAGGTCTAGCATGTACACCACGGGAGATCTAAATCTAAAGATGACACATCCTTCCCACCTAGGGCTTTTGTCAGCTTCCATTTCTTAGTCTTCTGCTTGCTCTAACAGAGGTTCACATGTCCATCTTAACTGATGACTCTCAGTTCCATTCACTCCCTGTCAGGAAGAAATAGCCTATCTCCAGAGACTTGTCCTTTTTCTCAAGGAGCAGTGGGATCAGGCATTGGGGAGAGGCTTGTAAGTTTGCTATGGAATGTAAACAACCATGTTTCTAGCTATTCCAGATAGTTGCCTTGACCCCTGTTGTGGTCCATTTCACACTAATGGGTTATCGATATGAGAAGATGAATCCCCTGAAGTCCCTTTAATATGGTTTATTCTTCCTTTCAAATAAATGATTAATATAGGCAGGAATCGATTATATATGCTGTCTATCTAGAGGACCCTTGCTTTCCCATGCTTTCACCTGCATAGTTTATAGCCCTATATACAATCCTAAATAGAAGGTTTATGGCAGCTGA